TATTCCTGCAATACTTTTTGTTCAGTTAGAATTGCAGCTGCGAGTGTACGTGAAAGCTATTTTAGATGTTAGTAATACTGATCATTTTGCAGCTTCCGGACCATTTTAGCAACGATGCACCTTAATTTTTCTGCCTTTGGACAGACAACATTTATTCATTTGTTATCTGTCCATTTATGGCAGTAATACAATTGTTTGGTATCTAATTTTTAATATAATGCATGTTATTTATAATTTTATTGCGTATGTATCCAGCCTTCGTTAGTGAAAAATACATTTAAAAAAATGTTCGCTTGCCAAATGGTACGTCAAGTTTTTCAGCCGAAATCAGAGCCATAGACCTTGCTTTGCAATACATTGCAAGCAAGCGTATTTTAAACAGCATTATCTTCTCCGATTCACTATCAGTACTTCAGTCGCTACATAACAGAAAACTGGAGAATCCATTATTAGCAAATATTCTCCTTCAGCATACTGAGCTGAGTACCTCCCACAATATAGTATACTGTTGGTTACCCAGGCATGTAGGAATTAAAGGTAATGATAAAGCAGACCGTGCTGCTAAAATGGCCCTATTACTAGAACCAACTGATTTTAAAGCACCCTATACTGATTTTAAACGTTGTATCAAAGACTGTTCACGTCAGAAATGGCAGGCATCATAGAATGATGCCGTGAATAACAAACTTCATGCCATCAAGCCAACCTTAGGAGAATGGACCCCTTCCTACAGATCCGTCCGTAGAGAAGAGGTAGTCATTGCAAGAATTCGACTCGGTCATACTCATTTAACCCAATCCTACATACTAGAAGGAGTTGACCCACCAGATTGCATAGCTTGTAATGAACCATTTACCGTTAAGCACTTTATGCTGGAATGCTTCGATCTTCAACCTACCCGTAATCATTACTACGTTGTGCAAGACATGAGGGAGCTCTTTGATACAGTTAGCAATACCAACATTATAGACCTCCCTATGGAAGCAAACATTTATCATGAGTTATAGCTTTTATTTTATCACCTTGTTCAGTTTTGTTATATATGTGCAGTCAATAGATTTTAATTACCAATCATCTATTTTCGTTATCATACATTTGCACTCCCCTTTGATCGGGAAACTTTAATTATTTACCATCGTTACCATTTTTATCGCTTTACCTTTAACTGTTTGGTCTCCAAACGCTAGTCGATACAATTTTTATTTACCTTTTATAAATGAAAAAGGATATAACCTTATGTTTGGCGCTAAATAGCCTCAAAGTGCTGGTGCGCCGTAAAATATCAATCAATCAATCAATCATTCCCGCAGGGGAAATCGTTTGAGAACAGAAATGAAAGTTACTTTCAACTTTAAATGTTTCTAGTTTAATTTGGATTCGTATTCTACTTTTTGTATATATGCTGAAAGGGTGGTTGATTGGCATGTTTTTCAGCATGCATATTGGACTCGTACTTAAAAACCATTTTCAGGCTCGGTATCTTCCTTGAAACTTTTCTCAGCTCCAATTATTTGATATACTTCAAAAATAATATTCATCATGACTATCTTGTGCAAGTATTAAAGGGAACGAAATTGTGATCTAAATTAAATACACTGTATTTTATACGCAGCCCGTATTTTAAACAAGCATTTGTAAAACTTCATTGATGCAAAAACTACACAATAATGCTTGTTCCAGGGAACGAACGATATGCCAATCTAATTTAGTTTAACAACTATTCATGTCCAGCTTTAAAGCCAAGATGCGTCAATATTTGCCTACCAGAGAAAACGATGTCGCGCCAAGAGCTAAATCTGTTAGCGCGAGTAATATCGCGAAAAGCATTTTAAGATCGAAATAATAATTGTGTACTGTATTGCACTTTCATGTGTGTTATTTCTCGCCTCACATCATTTCAAAGTGCGCAAATTTGCAAAAATAATTGCCAGATTTGCGCTTTTTGACAGTGTACTTTGTAGAACAATTAATTTTCACTTTTGGGTCAAGTTTCTCTGTTGCTTTGCCAATACTTCCCTTTTGTCAGAAAGCGAATTAGCTGCCTTAATTGCTTATTGATGGTTATTGTTGAACCTAAACCGAAACAAACTATAACCGCATAAAGAATTCAGAGTAACATATTATTAAGATGCAGCAAATGTTTATCATTAAATTCAAACGAAATATCCAGAGATGGGATGGCGCTACGTTTCCCAACGTTGAAAATTGCTTTTTTCCCCTTGTTTGTTCTTTATTGGCGACAAAATATACCATCTGGCGATCTTGTTGGCGAGAAAATTTTGGGAGGTTAAAAATATGTTGTTTGGAGATGAGAAATTCATAGCACCTTGACAGGAAAATCCGCAAACTTGTATATAAAAATGTTCCGTAGTCTACATAAACAAAAGCATTGTTCATATTGATCAACCACCCTAACACACATTATAATTTCATAATCCGTTTATGCCGAGGTCTGGCCTTAGTACACTTACGGTAACGTAACCCAAATTATCATGTTATATAACTAGCGATAGTCGACCAATTCCGATTGCGTGAACTGACGGACTAATTTTGTGCCTAGGCATGCAACGTAAACTCCTTCAACCCTATTGTTTTTCTTCTACGTGGGTGATGGACCTTACTCACTGATCAATGGAGTGGTGTGGCGTGTTTTGATATATATTAACAGTGTAACGAAGGTCAGATTTTCAGAAATAGCACACCCAAATGGTAACCAAAACCGACGATTTCTACAAAGAAAAGTTATAATGCTTATTTCAGACTTTACTTACCCTAATGTCTTTTCTCTAATAAATTCAAATTCTCACAAAAGAAATGGATCTGTTTTCATGTTTCGTTGGCCTACATTTTGAAATGGATCGAAAGAGATGAAAGCAGAGAATTAAAAATTGGATTAGGTTGATATATTATTCTTTAACGAAACGAATTAAAATACATTATGCCTTTTAAAACTTTTCGTTCAAGAAATATATTTCAACATATATTCTCGTTATCATGGTTGTTGTCTCGGGCTAACCAAAATCAAAGCCAATTAAGTACATGTTCATGTAGCGTACAAACAACTACACAGCCACGTGATACTAGGATAAAAATAAAGTGAATTGTTTCGGGAAAACCGTTTATTGACAAAGGGATATAGATCCAACAAGAGCTAACGTTTATTATATACGTTTTAGTTGTGTTTTCTAACAGATATGACTGCTACATGAATTTTCTACAATACAATCGAATAGTCGAATTCATGGATTTTTTTTTTTTTTGCACAAATATAAGTTGCCAATATAAAAGTGCATTTCAAACTAGTTCTCTTCACTTAATTAATATTTCCATTTTTCTTTTCTCTGCCGAAATCCTAGCCACTGACAAGTCATCGATTAAAACTTTATGCTGTATTCAAAATTTCAATTTATTGTCAGCATACCCCTCCCCTTACTAATCTACATTTTAAATCAATGTATGTTATTAGCTTGGCCCAGTGGAAGGCGAGATTAATGGATAGCACTGTTTTATGACAATGGCGACATTTGTTTGAAAAGCTTTTCTAAAAGCCAGCAAAATCCCTGAGACCATATTCAAATGAACAAAAAATAACTTGCATAAAGTGCTTATTAAATGATGAGCAAATTAATAGTTTTATATGTAAAAGGCATTTGAATTGTCTCCCTTTACACTAGCTGGTGGGGCAAACAATCATCATGGCAATGCCTGCTAGCGGGGGGGGGACAATATTACTAATCACGTCACGATCGGGTGCAATATTCTAAGGAGAAACTATAAATTGACAATAAAATGCATGTACCGTAATTACTGTAAGTGTGGGTATTTTTCATTCTTAAGCAAAGTTAAATTTTTATCAGAAAAAGCGACTCATCTTCACAATATTATTATGAGACCGTTTATCTGTATAATAACTATAAACCTGAACAATCTGTCCAACAAAGATGTGATGACATGGCGCACTGTAATATCGTTAAATTCTAACATTTTTCAAACTGCGACTTTGATTCAGACAAATTATAAACAAAATATCTCAGTCACGACCAATAAAAAGGCATTGATTGCTGCACTGGTGCTATTGTTGTCTCCAAGACAATCTGCGATGGTACCCCCATCCCTTCGATCTATGTTTATGTCTAAGAGAGAGAGAGAGAGAGAGAGAGAGAGAGAGAGAGAGAGAGAGAGAGAGAGAGAGAGAGAGAGAGAGAGAGAGAGAGAGAGAGAGAGAGAGAGAGAGAGAGAGAGAGAGAGAATAAACAACTCTTACCAGAACTTCGCTCTCTCATGGTCAACATTATAACTTCGACAACTTTCCAAAGTGACAGCCGTTCTGGTTGGAAGTGTAGAACGTTTGCCAAATCACCTCACGTAGACACTTTAAATACCGGGAAGTCGTTCCCTAAGGGCGGCTCCAAAGAGATTACGTAAGGTTAGCCTAAATAATATCTTGCGTAGAGTTTGCCAAATCACTTCCTCGGGATCCTATAAATACCGTGAAATCCTTCCCTAAGGGCGGCTCTTCTGAGATTACGTAATGTTGGCCTAAATAATATTTTGCCTAGACTTGACTTATGACTTATATCAGACCAGCACATGCATGCAACATGCATCCAACGCGTCAGCAAATGCATAATGAACATAAGGGAAAGCTACAGAAGGTGATGGAATAAATTTCATTAGTTTAAGTATATGTTTTTGTCACAATAGGAAACAATGCATTGAGTACAATATTTAACATTTAATTAGCCCTTTCCAAATGTAATACAAGTTCCATAAAATATTCAATGTACAGCACAATAATAATGAAAAAATATTGGAGAAATAAAGAGAGGGTGTGCGTACTGTGACAGTAATGATGATTTGAATAAGGTGTTGAAATGATCCATTATCGGTTATATCTTGACACAGGTGATGTAAAATTCTATATTTTTCATTTGCATCGCCTTTTCCCAAAGTAGTAAACCTAGGCTAATATTTGCATTTGGAATTGAAAATAATGTTCCGCTCCGGTGGCCTAGTGGGTAGAGCGTCCGCCTCAAATGCGGGAGGTCGCGGGTTCAATCCCCGATCGAGTCATACCAACGACTTACTAAAAATGGTACTAACAGCTGCCTCGTTTGACGATCAGCATTAAGAGGATAGTGTTAGGGCTGGTAGACCTCGTGTCAGGATAATGTGACTGAATGGGACATCATGCTACATGTATGCGGCATGATGTCCCAGTGCTAGACATCACTGTAAACTGCCACACTGCAGACATCGTAGCAATAGGACTGCAAAATGGTTAAAGATACGTTATATATCTTAATTACATTACATCACATAATTTTCTCAGCCACTCAGTTGATTATCTATAGTACAGGAGAGGGAACAACAAATCCATGCTAGTTTCGATCCCACTGCAGGAAGAAAGAGAAATTTCAGTAACTTGTAAATGGTAAAGTCAACTTTTAATTAACAAATCAGCAATCTACTGATCACATATTTAAGTTTGATAGTATCAAAAGCATTTTCAGGATTGTTTTTATCACGTTTTTGTTCGTGAAAGAAAAGATGCACTGTTTCTTTTTTCTTGATTAAGCTTGAAGAGCTGTTACTTGGACAAGTTACGCAACTTTATTAGATTAATACAAATGACAAGCTCTGTTTAAGCACAATAATGGAACCAATAATGCCGATATGGGTTATCTGCGAATAGATCAGAGTTCATGCCATAGGGCAATAGCCTTTACACAAATTAGTAACAAGAGTAACCCAGGTACAGATTGTTTTGGCCGGCAAGGTTTTGTAATTATATCTCGGGTAAAAGTATCGTTTAAAAGGACCGTTTGTCTTATGTTACTTGGATTATTTTCAAACCATTTAACAGCTAACCAGAAACACATTATTCACTCAGTTTGAACAAGCCGCTGTATTAAACTCGAAAAATCTAAAAATGCAACACAAGAATGTTGAGATTAAAAACAGTGCATTGACCAGGTAAAAATCCTGCCTAATGTTTATAAAAATATGTTGTTTTTTTTTAAAGTATTTATTATATTGTTTAAAAATGCATGTTTCAAAGAGTTTTTCAACAGAACCAATTATAGTTTCGTCAATAAATTGACAAATTCGTATGAATCGTGTGCGTGATATTCCATATATCAAGAAATTTTTCTTTCAATGATCGATTAAAAAGCATTGCTAGAGGGGCCACTATTGATTCGCTGAGGCCATTAAGCATTCTCTTACATAACACAATGCGACCCAATAAAGAAAGGAACGTTACTATTATGAAATAGTTGAAACTGAAGTAAAATTATTATTTAATAAGTTAGCCTTTTCCTTTTCATCACCAATGTAAACCGAAGTATTGGATATTATAATTATGTAATGATTCCATCTGGCGTATTGAACTTTAGCACTTGACTAGCATGGTGTACAAAATCGAAAGTACTTTTAAAGTTATACAGTTTATATCCACCAAACCCACAACTAGCTGATGCTGAAAAAAATAGGTTTCTACCATTGTTCATAGTAATAAATCAGTTATCCCACGAAGCAGGACTGTGGGACTGAATTGTCATTTCATGTTTCTATGCAGGTATTATATATTTGTTTCTTTTCTTCGTTTCCTTGCGGGCACAGGAGGGGGGTCTCGTTTCAAAGAAACTTAGGAGTTGCTGTTAATGGATAGAGAGATGGGGGAAGGCTGAGTCAACTTGAAACAATATAGCCCAAGCGAAGAAACGAGTACGCAGCCTTCATAATTTCAAACCCTGCTGGTTCGTCCTTTTTTTCGTATCCAAATGAAAAACTTTCACCAGGCGCAATCAAAAAGAAATCAGTTTTCAAAACATATCACTAGACATACTATAGAAAAGTAAATTTTCGGCCTATTTTGAAAATTCGGCTAGTACTGGCCAGGAAATTGCCCATAACATTCATATATTTTTGAATTTCACTATAGACTTAAAGTTTAGAACAGAATATTACCAGGCGTATAATATATATGACGATATATGGGCTGGTGCGTGCAGACAAGGCGATGGGTGCCATATACTCGCGGACCTGGGTTCGAAGCACGGTAGAGTACGAATTTAATTTATCTAACCCGTATGATAGTATTGTTTTTATTAAACTATTATTTCTGCCCACTATTATCAAGATTCTACTACAGAATCCATCGATATCACTGTCTGTTCTGTCTGGTATATATATATATATATATATATATATATATATATATATATATATATATATATATATATATATATATATATATATATATATATATATATATATATATAATAGTTGGACATTATATCCTTATTTACCCTCTAATTACAGACCGCTCCGGTTGCCTGGTGGTTAGAGCCTCCGTCTCGGAAGCGGGAGGTCGCAGGATAAAAACCACAACCGATTCTTTTCAAAAGGCTCCTAAAGAATGGCACGAACAGCTGCCTCGCTTAGTACTCAGCATTAAAAGGTTAGTATAAGGACTGACTATACTGGTGTCACGAGAATCTGACTAAGTGGGGCATCATGCTACATTTCTGTTACAATATGCCCCATTGCTAAACATCACTACAAATTGCCATACTTCATACATGGTATGACTGAGCTTTTCTTAAATCTACGTTAAAAATACAAATCACACACTTTTTTTCACCTTGTTCAGTTTTGTATTATATTTATGTAATCGATAGATTTTAATTGCCAATCATATGTTTTCGTTAACATACATTTGCACTCCCCGTTGATCGGGAAACTTAATTATTTACCATCGTTACCAATTTTATCGCATTACTTTTAACTGTTTGGTCTCCAATCGCGGGTCGATAAAATTATTTTACCAGTTTTAAATGTAAAAGGATATAAAATTATGTTTGGCGCTAAATAGCCTCACAGTGCTTGATGCGCCGTAAAATAGCAATCAATCAATCAATCAATCAAATCACACACACACACACACACACACACACACACACACATACACACACTCACAAGCCTTATACTTAGTTTAACATGGCAAATCAACACATTTAATTTTTTTTCTCTTTATATCTTCTTCTATTTAGCGCTGAGTTTGATGTTTTGAACTTAGCTTTCCGACATAATACACAACCCTGTAAGCTTTTCTTAAATTGACAATTTCTAACATCGGAAAAGGGAACTTCTTGCTTTTACTTACATTTTTGACTTCACTTACTTTGTTACATACATTAAAACCTGGAGTCGTAACAACAGATAAATACATATACCTATCAATACCTCACCCCCACTCTCGCGTTTTCTTTATATATATAAGAGGAGTCCCGTCCCAGCATATATGGCTAGTTAGGACTTGTAAAGACATTTTGGTTTTCCGGAGTCAAAGATTTTACAATGTAGGTGATTTATCATTCTTGGTTGTTTTCTATTGTGTGTTTTTGAATATATTATATTAATTTTCTGCAGGGTTGCTCTTTGTTTTGCTCATCGTATAATTTATAGAGTTGCTTTACCCATAAACTTGGGTAAAATGTGTGCCCTTCACTCTACTGAGATTGGCAGTCGGCCTACATTCTACCAACCCTTACTAAAAACTTTGGATCATGCTACTACCCCCATCGACTAAAAAGTCTCATGGGAATTTCCCCCTCCATTTTAACCCATAGGACTTGTTTTCCTAAATGACTTTGCATGGTGCTGTGTGTTAGTAGGTGTTATGTTGTATCGCCCTTTGTTTTTGTAATGACGTCTCTATCTGGGTCGAAGTGTTGAAGATTGATTCTTTATTTATTCCTATTAAATTTTGGAAACGGTTTTCGATTTAAGGCCATTGTAGTGTTATGTTACAATGGTGTATGCATGATGTGCATGTTTTTGCTTGTATTTTATATTCTGTATGCCGTAGCATCATAGTCTAATGATGTTTGTAATTATTTATTGCACCTTAGCGCATTCTCATTTCTTGGTTTTGTAGGATAGGAAGATGTAGTTTGTGCTTTTATGTGGTGTTTTTTTTTTCCCTCGTCTTGGTGGAGTGTTATGTCGGTGTTTATAAACTAGCACATCTCAGTGATGGCTTTTCCGGCTTCTGTATAAGTCTTTTCAGGGGATATTGTGGAAAGATCATATTTCCATATTTTCGGTTTGTGTGCGTTTTATGGGGTATATACTAGAAATTGTTGTGTTTGTATTTTGTTGGTATGTTTCATAAGTATTTCTGATGCCCTTTTAAAGTAGCTAATCACATCTCATTATATCTATCTTGTACTTACATTCTGGTAATGCTCCATCATTGTTGAACGTATTCTTATACTTGTGGCTCAGACTACAAAAGGTCAATTCCCGTCGGTATTACGTAATTAAATCCATTTAGCCTCTTTTGCCCGAGGATAGTTTCCTTCTTTACACCTTTCAGTATATTCTTACGTGGCATACACCTCTTAAGGCTCCTTTGTACGAGCACTACTCACCGGTATTTATTTATTTATTTAACGTTCAGGCTCAACCTTTTCTACCATTGGAACTGCTGTAGGGGGTGGGTGGTTAATTATAAAAATAATGACCATTTTGTATCTTCCGGTCTATCTTAGCAGCGATGTACCGTAATTTGTCTTCCTTGGGATATATATATATATATATATATATATATATATATATATATATATATATATATATATATATATATATATATATATATATATATATATATGCAATAAACTGACGACGAACAATGCGAGACTAGTAACTAACTAGCCTGAGCGCTTTCGTCTCTTAAAGGGTCTTTTTCAAAGGCAAACACACAACTAATACAAAACTAACAAATAAACACAAAAACGTGGTGTTTATAATTCCCTAAAGGTCTACAATCCAAAGTGACATCTATTACTTTTTTGTACATTTATGTAACGCAGATTATAACCCGGATATTTGATTCTATACCGGATATTCTTATAGTAATAATTAAAGGATACAAAGAAGATTTAGAAAAAGTTTGAAGAAAAAATAACTGTGTCGGCTACAAAGACTAATTCTACTAGTGCATAGTTTTATTTTTCTAGTCTTCTTGGTTTAGACCGCTTGGTTTCAATGTTCTAAGGCGGTGT